ACTGTCCCTATATAACTCATTTTCACTTTCTGTCTTGAGACCAATTATCTCTTTGATTGGGCTTCAAATGAATTTATTGGCAGATGCCGCACAAAACCCTCCCGAGAGTTTGTCAAAGCATGACTCTCAGCTGGTAACAGCATTACATGTGATATCTGCCGCAGTACCCCTTAAGTGGGCCTGTTGGTTTCTCGAGTTCAAGACGATGGTCTTTAACAGTAACACATCTTTTTTTCCTTTCATAAGGTACCATCTCCACATGCTCTCGCTGATCGGAAACATTACCCTCCCACACCTCAACATCTAAGGCGCGAAGCCCACTCCTCCCGGCGATCATGTTAAACATGAGATTTTTGTTAGCATGTACAAAGTCTGGTGGGCGATTTTTAAATTTTTCTAAAGAGCCTTCGCCTATTTAACAGTTTTCACTTCAGAAAGGGTTCCCGGCCGATCCTATTTAAGCCAACTTCCACCTTTATTCCTCAATAAGACAGGTCTGCCCGTTAGCCTACCTGCTGACCGCCCGACGCGATCTAGGGGTGGTGGATAGCGGGATGACATTCAGAGAGGTCTACTTAAGGTCATAGCAGACTATTTCGCCTAGTTGCTACTCGTCTGCGAATTAACGGTGGCAGAGTGTAGAGGTCTAGAACACCGGCTGGCTGACAAGAGACTGCAAAGCCTGATGACAGCACTGTAGCAAGACGATCGCGTAACGCCAGTAGACAAGTTAACTTGCAGTTGTTGCCTTGTGACTGGGTTCTCCCAAAACGAAGTCCCAAAAAGGACCAAGGGTCGGTTACGCCGTCCGGGTCCCAAGTGTAAGCGCAATGTGGGAGCATTGCAAGTAAAGTATGCCGAAGGAAGATACCAAAATCGATAGTGGGGAAAGTAGCCGAAGCTGGAACGGAAAAGGCCAACTGATGAAGGACAAATTTGCTGCGAAAATGAAGGAAGCCTAGGATCCCAGCAAAAGATCTGGCGAACAGAACATGCGGGAGCTGCAATACACCAAACCTAGCGTTTAACCTTATCAGAACCTTAAAAGTAACACTAAGCCTTAACGTAATTATAAACCTAACGCTAACCCTAAACTTAATACTTAGCCTATCCCTGAACCTACCACAAGCCCTAAACTTATGCTCGACCTTAGACCTAACCCAAAACTTAATCCTAGCCACAACCCTAGCTCCAATTGTAGCCCTAACCCTAACCTTAGACTCATCCGTAGCCCAAACCCTGACCCTAGTCTTAACCTTAAAACGAACCCTAACCCCAATCCTAACACTAAATGTAGGCCTTAACCGCAATCCAAACCTTTACTCAAACAGGAACCTTTAAACTTATCGCAAGACCTAACCCCGAACTCAATGTTCAGCCTGACGCTAACCCAAACCCTAAAACTCACCCTAACTCTAGACCGAAACGTCAGGCTGCACTTTCCCCCTACCTTCTTACTAACGATTTCAGCATCCCTCTTCGGCTTACTCTACTTTCAATGTCCACATTGCGCTTACACTTGGGACCCGGAAAGGGAAGCCAAAACCTGCCCAAAAAGGCCCATGAACTAAAAGTCCGAACACGCTACCGGAAGTCAGACCCCCTCAACCATGCGCCAGTACGGTGGACAGTTGGTATGCAAGCCGGACAGCTAGCATGGGAACAGATCTTAACGATCGGCGGTGGGAATACGAGCACGCTCCGTGGCCTTAGAACTAAGGATATGACAAAGTCCATTCGTAGTCTCTACAATGTGGATATTTTCTGTTTGTCCAAAACACGAATCCCAAGCTCAGAACCCCATGAAACTGGAATAATGGCTTTGAGCTCCTCCTTCACCTCCTATTGCATCTCTAGGACACATAGTTTGATGATCGCTCTGTAGAAACCGGCTAATGAATAACCGCGCGAGTGAAAGATAGTCAACGTTTAACTGGCATGTTTGCGACTAAAGGAGCATTTTTCTAACAGCTCTGCCATTTTCGTCCTCATCCTAGCAGCGGTTGCTGTTCAGCATAGCAAACTTTCCGCTTGTTTGAAAAGGTCGCTACCTTGCACAGTTGATTGTTGCCGGCCATCTGAAGGGTCCGAATGGGACAGGTGGCTCTTCAAACAATCACCTAACTGATTGCTTTTGACCTGATTCTTAATGATAGAAGACTGCTGAGTTTCGCTGAAAAGATGCCGGCTCTCTGCAACCAACACGTGCATCCAGATTTGCCCAAACTCGTGACCTGGTAGTTGGGCAATGGTTGTACGGCCAGGCTAACTGACTAGAGCATAGTAAGCGACCATTTTGTCTTGATAATTCTTTAATTTCTTCTCTCTCCCTCTCTATAGTGAGCATACTTTCGAGGCCATTCCTGATAACTAAAGTCACTTCAGCATCACATATTCTTTTTTACCTTTGATGTTCGTTCCGGAAGAACGCGTATACTCCCCGGATTGACCCGATCCCTCTTCCCTAAGGGTAACGAAACTCACAGTCGACGCCTGGTGTCGAAGCTGGCAGCGCCTGCGCGTAGACTCATGCTCTTGCCTGAAGGCTCGTTTTCCACTTGCACCCAAAATGCCTCCTACCAGACGGCTTGACATGCAAAATTGTGGCGGATGAACACGGCTGTGGATCCGAGCACAGAAGTCCGATTCCGCTTTGCGGCAGAAGGAGGAGATAGCAACAACGGGCATCAATGAAGTCCTCCGTCTGTGAGGTAGCTGAGGGAATTCTCGGAATTTGCCAGTCATGCTAGGATGACTGGGTCCGTATGAGAATCCTGCATTTACCCGCCCAGACAGATCTTGAAGGATCTGGCAACGACGATTCCTTCATAAATTCCGTAGAAGAACGGCAAAACCGGTTAACAATGGCAGTGAGAATTATTGAGCTGATGTAAGGACTTTCATTAAGCGTACCTTAAACGTCAACAACACTCAGACCCTCTATCAACCAGTGACGATTATTGATAGAAGGAAGAAAACGGACAATGATAGGTTAGACTGGAATGGCCATTTCTGATCTAATGCATATTTTTGCAGAGAATTATCAAACTCGGTGCCTCGGTGGGAGCCGCCGAGTTTTTCACAGTTGGGTCAATATGAAACATTTCTGACTTGTTGACAGAATCTGTCTTTATGGAAGATCGGATGAAAACACTGAAAATCATGAAGTATTCAGCAATATTTCGAGGCTGATCTGAAACTCAACGTAATCCAAAACGAAAGAAGAGTATAAATTAATTTAACGGAAGAAAAGTTCTCTCTATAAACACAAAATGGTATGTTTACGATCACGCCTGTCAGTTCTATTTAAATTTATTAGGCACCAACCGGCCTCATGGCATGCCACCTTATGAAAACTTTTGATCCTACGACGTCCCCATCGGCAAAATCAAGTAAAATCCAACTGCTGTTGTTGAAACTCATCTGATTTTAATCTAAAAAGTAGGCGAAGTTATGAAACACTGGAAAACTGTTTTGGAATCTACACCCAGAATGTAGGCGGTTGAAAAGCCGTCCTATATGAAGTCACACTACTTATTAGACGATATTTAGATGTAAAGTTCACTAAAACATTGTTTTTATACGTTATTTTATGTCTACTTTCATATTTACTACGTGTTTGGTATGAGAATACATTCTATACATCTAAAAACGAACTTTACTTAATTAGAGCCATTTTGGACATTTTCGGGATATTGCGCTTTTCAAAACAAATTGGATTTTCTAAATAACGCAACCATGCCGTTAATGTTTCTTTTATGTTTTTAATTCTTTTAAACTTGTACTTAATTAAAATAGAAATCGGACTCATGAAATGGTGTCGCTTTGCGAGTGACTGACAATCATTCGTAAATTTCGACACATTTCATCAGTTAGTCACTCATCCATACCAACCCCAGGTTTTTATAACCTGGAATTTGAATCCGGACTCGCCAGCCAATAAGCGTTAGGTCTAATGCTCTAGCATTGAACCAGGGGCCCCCTGTCCTGTCGGCTTTGACCAAAAATGCTCCCATTCTTGCCCTTGACGAAAATCTTCTTTATATCATTACGGACCGCAATATAACTGCCTGCCAGGGCTGTAGACCGTGGCGCAACGCTAGGAACAGGTCTCGCAATCTGATCGGTTGACGTATTTCCACCGTGGTTCAAATTTTGATCGTAACCGAGAGGACAACCCGCCGTGGTCCACTTGTTGGGTGTTGAAATTGAAAAAACACCCGCTGACCAATGGATCTCGGTTTTAATCACGGACGATCCGTATTCGGAACCGGGTATGGCTGGATGACGATGACCAATAGACCAGAAATGGCCATCCCAGTCTTCCTTTCTCTGTCCGCATTCCTTCCAGTAGGTGCCCTTTATTTTTCAGATGCTGCCCGTATCAAAAGAAGTTCCAACTTCACGTTTTTTTTCAAGCCTTGACTAATTTCCCGACCCTTTTGTTTTAGCTATCATTGTAGTTTTATGCACTGTTTTCTCAGTTCCGATGAAAGCGCTGGATTTTATGAACTCGGCGCGTAAGCACACTCCACTGTAGTGCTTTTGGCGCGGAACGTTGAGATTGGTTAGCCCTGACAAAACAGATAAGAGAATAAATCGGAAATTGGTGATATTGACATTTGGCCCACATTGGTGCATAAGTGCAGTCAGATGGAGCTGAAGCATTTGTCTTGCTGTCTGCAGTAATAGGCAGTTTCTAATGCCACTTGTTATAAGAGACTTGCATGGGACACAGTCATTCCATCAAGTGCGAAGTTGTCGCGTAATGAATGCGTTTATGTAAGCTCTCGAAAGGGAATTAGTAGGTGGGCAGCCAGCCATTTTTTAAAGGTTTACGAAGTCTTGGGCCTCTCATAAGGTCGCAGGCCCTAAAAACCCGTATCACCTGGCGGAACGATAAATTGGGGACTTCTTTGCATTCCGCCTCACAAAAGTAACCAGCATAAAATATGAGTTCGCGGAAATTGTTGTCCTTCCTCACACCTTCTTTGCTGAAATCAGTAGGCAAATGCAAAGTTCCGCGGATTAAATAGGCCCTTCTTGAAGCCCTCCGCGAGCACACCAGATCGTACAATGCGCTCAGAATGGAAACTGGGTGAAATGTCGAAGCTGCAGGGTTCGCCGCGAATAATCTGCTGGAAGAGCACTGAGGAGTCTGAGAAGCGGAACGTCGGTGGTTGGGGAGGAACATGCGGCACTTTGCATTCCACGAAGTAGGGCAGACGCCTTGGCAGAGTTGTGGGGGGCCTTAAGAGCATGTAAATTGCAATTGGCAATGGCGCGGAAAAATAATGTAAGGAAGAGTTCTTATAATGAAACATTGATGACATCACAGACGAACAGGAAAAGGACAGGCGCAAACTCCACTGGATGCAAAACCCTAGCGGAGGTTAACCACGCCCGAGGCTAACAATGAGCTGAACATAACGAAAAGAGTACGAGCGAATAAGAAAAATGGTCGAGCACCGGAACATGAGTTTAACGCCGTAGCCAACCAGATAATCGCCCCCGCCGGAAACAAAACGGATCCCCGATGCGAACGCAGTCAATCCACTTATCGATCTGGCGCCGGCGTACAGAGCCCTGCGCAGACACCTCCAGTCTTGCGCCGTTGGTCGATGATTGGCCTACATGCCCTATAACTGACGCTTGTTCTGTTGCTGCTACTATCTCTGACAATGGACTCCTGAACGAGTTAGAAAACCCAGGACAATCAACAAAAGTTTCCGATACTCGACCTCTCTTCTTCTTGACTCACAAAGGAAGCTGCGTGAAGACGATTTTCAAACGGACCCAAACTCATTACAACAAACCGGAGGAAAGAGCAAGTGAGGGCCGTGAGCTCCGCGACCAGTTTGTGCAAAGTGACAATCCAAAGGCGTCCATAAGTCGCGGCTGCCCCCTGAGGGTCCAAGCATCGAAACTACCAACGATATGACATTCTCTACTATACATCAAGGACGTTTCAGAAGCAACCGAGCGCATTGTTGCGGAGTTAGGTGTTGGAATTGTACACCGCCCCAAAGCTACCATGAGCAGTAGGGTCCTCAAAATTAAACACGAATTAAAGTCTGAGGGACGATCTGCAGTGGTGTATCGCATCCCGTGTCAAAGCTGCCCTTGTAACTACACAGGGCAGACTGGGCGCATGCTCGGATCGCGCATACACGAACAGAAGCTGGCTGGGTGACGAGGCAGCGCATCATCGCAGATGGCAGATTACACGTACGAAATGGGTCGCAGCCGCCAAAATAGTCGCCCTCGCCGGAAACAAAACAGACCGAGAATTGATTGAAGCCCGGGCCTCGAATGAGAACTCAGTCAATCGATTTATCGTTCTGGCGCCGGCGTACAGAGCCCCGCGCACTCACCTCCAGCCCTGCACCATCCGTCGATGATTGACTAGCATGCCCTATAATTGTCGCGCGTCCTATTGTTGCTACTATCTCTGACGATCGACTCCTATACGAGTTCGAAAGCTCAGAACAATAAATAAACAGTTCAGTCTTTTCTTTTTAACTTAAACACCTAGAATCTGAAGTTTCGCTTTCATAGGTTGGAGTTTCTACACTATCGCTAAGAGCCACGTTTTCAGGACCAGGAAAAAGCGACCGTAATACTTTCGCTAAAACCTTCCTCGAGACTTTGCAGGAGTGTTCTCTAAGAAGCGGTTATGCCTTTGGTGGTAGAGAAGCCTGATGGCACAAGCAAAACCTTGTAAATCAGCATTATTGTCAACTCAAGCAGGTGGGCACCATCCGACCAGAGCAGTCACCGAAACACTCTTTGGCATTTTCAACCTTCCAGGGGATTTGTAATCCACCATACTTGCGGAAGGAAACATTTGGAATCAGGCGCTGCGGACCAGATGACTGTCTCGGCCCAGCAGTCTCGGCGGCCGTCCTACATGCTCCTTCCTTTGTTCTGGCAGTGTTCATGGATAAAAGGTCTCCTGGATGTCCCCAGTAACGAGTTAGTCAAGAATAGGTCAAATCAAAGTTCAACTTTGGGCAATTTGGTCGACATTCACCCTGAGGACTCAATTTCGAAGTAGGGGCTGAAAATACCCAGTGGAGTTTTCAAGCCGTACTGGAGAAGGGGGATAGCCACAAGTAAGCCTAATGGTAGGGAACAGTGACCCCCTGTAGTACCGGTGCACGAAAAAGATTAAGTAAATGCGCGGTGTAGGAAAATGCGAACTGTTGTTTAGCAAGTTTGCCAACATTTTTGCACTCCTGCTTCACTGGCAGACGTATTCATTCCATCCAACAATATTCCGACTGCTCTCTTTCCCTAACTTTTTAAAAAAAGGAGTTTTCGTCTTACAAAGACTTGCAGGTGGGGGTGGGGAACAATGAGCCAATGTAGACATTCCAGCGACATCGAGTCCTCGGGACGGCATAGGTCAACGAGTGTCATCCTGCCGACGAAAGGTCGACCAAAAGCTCTACAGCGCTTATACTTACCCTTAACCCAGGCTGACCTTCTACTACATACCAGAGCAAGTTGGAGTTGAGGTTAAGAGGGCTAGGGTGTAAATCAAGACACAGGAGTATATACCTCCCCTGGAATTCAGCGTAAGACTAACTCCTGTAGGAGGGCGGTCTCTTTTCCTGTGTGCATCCCATAATTCTAAAAGTAGGCTAAAATTCGGGATGGCCATTTAGCTTCTAAAAGGTTTATTTAACTATGTCCCGAATGGGTGGCTGTTTGAGGTAAATCCGTGGGGAATTGCTGGATTAACTCCTGCGAAATACATCGTACACTGTCCATCCAAATGGACTGGAAACAGGCTAATGATGCTTGTTGTGTCGTAGGTAGGGAGGAGACAGACAGCGGTCTCACGACTGACGCTCCGTGGTCTTGTGTCCAATTCGCTGGACGGAAGACAGCGGGTACTGCCAGTCGGGTTTGGATGGCGTAGTTGAGTGGTCATCGGTTTGACCTGATACCAGATAGAAGTACAATCGTTCGCCCTCCTGGTGTTGTGGACTAGGTCCTTTGAGGGCCTCCGGACAGCGGCGCTAAAGTAGCAGTAGTCGTAGTAGTAGTAGTAGTAGTAGTAGTAGTAGTAGTAGTAGACTAGTATACCTGACGACTGGTCTTTCCTAGCTCATTTGCCGCCTTCGGCCAGCCAAACTCTAGCCCCAGGCCGAACTATCTCGGGAGTCGAGCTAGAGATCAGTCCAAATTTAACCCCCTGCCTCGGAGTCACAGGCTCGCAGTTTGAAGGAAAGACCGTATTTTGACTTATGATAAGGTCAGGTGGTCGGTGGAATCTGGATTTGATGACCGGAACCCCTCTATTTCGTTCTGACTACGGGAAATGTTCCTTCAGTGCAATTCTTTTCCATCCTTTTCTGCGGTCCCTCTGCATTCATCTGTTTTGAGCGGGTTGAACCTTCTGTCAAGTTTGAATTCAGGAAACAATTGCCTGACACATGAACACGACTAAACCCTCAGTGTCTACCGTTAAGCCAAACAAATCCACACGCTTCAGTGATTTTCGCATATAAGGCTTAAAGTATTACTATTAACTATTAACTCTGGCTGGACTATACTGCATGACTCCGGACCACACTATTTGACTTTTGAGATTTCACATCCTAGTCTACAACAACTCGAGCAATATAACCTGGATTATAAGCTCTCTCTCTCTCTCTCTCTCTCTGAAACTGCCCGGTGTAGAAGACTAAAGTTCTATCGGTTGGACATGGAACTAAATTCCCCGTATTGGAGGTGACCTTACGCTTAATTCCGAGGGAGGGGTACTTATTTGTGTGTCATAACTTTAACTCCAACTCTCATAACCCTAGCATTAACCCCAACCCTAGTCCCTACCGTTCTGTTAAAGTCCATGGTTGAGTAATAGAGGAATCAGTACATTATCCCCTCAATTACCCTCGTTGACTTCTAGGCAGTAGCTATCTCTGGATATCGATGACTCGGTACCCACATGCTCACCTGAAGAGGCTCGAAATTGTAATTGCACCAAACCTGCCCATTTCTTGGTCCTACATAAGGGCATTTTGAGGCAACGGCGAGTCCTGGCACAGGTCTAGGTCTGCGTGTAACTCTCCGAACTGAGACTCCAATGAACGACCTTCAGTGTCTGTGGCAGCGCCTTCTGCAGTGGAGATTCCTGTGTCACACTTGATCTCACAACTGTACGGCTCATGTGCGATAAAGGCTGGAATCACACATATCCCAACGCAAATAGTTCATATGGGATGAAGGGGCCCGTTACGTCAGGTTGATTCTCAGGATCTGGAAACTGGGCTGTCACTTCAGCTCTGCCAGTCCGGGGATATTCATGTGCACAGCCAGAGGGCCGGATCAAACGGCGCTTAGCTCAGACAAAACCGTGTTCGCTGTTATGTTTGCTTCCTTTTACGGTGTTAGTACAGTGAGTGACTTATCTCATTACATATTGGCCGAAATTCCGAAATGCGTTTTCTATTAAGAAGGATTACTTACGTACAGTAACAACACTGATTATCATGCAGCACAATCCTATAATGTTTCGGACTCGCCAGAATGTCGGCTTCTGAATGTATTTCTTTTAACCTGCTGTCGAAACCTCACTCGGTAACAAATGACAACTTAGGCAGCACGCATTTTTCACATTGATTTTTGATGGTGTTAAAAATTCACATATATTTTATAGAACACATGCATAAAGATGTGCTTTCTTTAACCTGTTCGGTAGAGAATCATGTTATTTTTACATTTTTACCCGAAGAGAGGGTTTATTTAGGTTTTGAAAAAATTTCCTTATGCCCGAATACTTTTGAACACGATCAGTCGTAGCTTTTAGCGATTTCAGCCAACAACGTGCATGCTTTCGGCGTAAGGAATATCATATAATCCTCTATGCCTTTAAAAAGATGCCATGTAGAGTTAATAAAATACTGCAATTGATGCGGACCGTGTTCTACATTTCATGAGAAGCATTGGCAAACGTGCACCTGCGGTGCTCTATGAATGGACATTGACCGGTCTTAAAAATCTCATAACTGGAAACTTTTTCAAAAGCTTAATATAAAAAAATGGGAAAATAATATGATTCTCTACCGAACGAGTAAAAGAAAGCATATTTTTATTCATGTTCTCTATAAACTACATTTGAATTTATAGGACCTTCAATAACCAGTGTGAAAAATTCATGTTGCTTAAGTAGTCATTTCTTACCGAGTGAGGTTTCTACAGAAGGTCTAAAAGAAATACATTCAAAAGCCGACATCCTGGCGAGTCCGAAACATTATAGGATTATGCCGCATGATAATCAATATTGTAACCGTACGTAAGTAATCCTGTCCAATAGAAAACGCATTTCGGAATTTCGGACAACATTTCGTGAGATCGGTCACTCATTGTAGAATACGAACGCATTTCTAAACGGATGACCCCCTCCCCCCACTGCTGAGCGATCAAAAGTCTCCAGCTACTGTCTCCTAACTACTCTCTGTGTGCTAGTAAATGTATTCTCATATGTGCTCGAGGTCTCAGACTGGAATTCTTCTCTCTTTGCGGTCGGAGCGTCGTCTTTCTTTTCCTAAATGCGTATTTCCGTATGCGTATGCAGACCAACGTCATCTCCGTCCTGATATTCAAGTGAGCACCCCGACTGCCCAACGTTCGGACTCAATGTCTTCTACCAGAAGACTGAATACTCCGTAAAAGGGACAAAATACGCGGACAAAACTTACTGGCCACCAATCCGCCTGCCCTGGACTTCTAGTCCGCCGATTCGCCCCGAAATTCGGTAGCAGTCTTCAGGGGGGGCGGCTGCTGTCTGGCAGGAGGAGCGACGGTTGTTTAACTTCAGGGTCTGACCAGTGCTGTTTCGGGCGTGAATATGGGTCGCTTTGGTGTTACGTCTCGCGATGGCGCTTCCTTTCCCGGTCGCATTTAGGTCCTGTACTTTATTATTGATCAGCAGACCTGTTCCCAGGCAGACGGGTGGTCGAGTGATTGCAGTAGTCTCGTCAGTAACCGTCGCAGATTTTGCACCGCCCGAACGGTCTTTCTTCTGTGGTTTCTGCCGAAACACCATGGGACCAGGTAAAGCACTTTCTATCCGCTAAAATGTTGACAATAAAGGTTTTTGCGTGCGCATCCAAGAAAAAATTAGAAGGTTCTACAAGCTAGGGGGGAGTAATCCTAGTAAACAAAGACTGATTTCGTCAAAATGTGGGTTGATCAGGCGCCCTGGGTGCGAAGCGACAGTCTGCACCTCGTTCCTTTCCACACATTTTTTCGTTTATTTTACCCCTTTTGCAATGACACGACTTTAAAAAGTGTAACTGACGTCAGCTCAGCACATGCGTGTTTAAAGGCGGATGCAGACTAGCACCTTGAGCCTAATGGCCCTCACAACAAACAGGCTGTATAATTTGTCAAAATGAATGTTTGAAGGGGTTACGCCTGTGCCATTACGTGCGTGACTTAAAGTTCGCACAGCGACCAAAATTAGGATACCAAAAGTATGCTCTATTATACCGTATACACGTGCAGCATCCAGCCTACGGCATGAAATTTCAGCTGAAATTACGAAGTGTGCTCTCGATCAGAAAATGTTACTCAGGTAAGGTTGTAATACTGACTATTATGCAGCACGGCCCCAAAATATTTCATTTCACACCAGGATGTCGGCTTTCGAATGCGCTTCGTTCAGCCCGCCCGTAAAAACTGTACCCAGAACCATGGACTATTTAAGTAGTGTCCACTGTATCAGCAAATTTAAGTGTCCTAACAAATTAAAATATACTTTGTTGAAGACATGCAAAAAAACATCTTTTGTATCTATTTTGTAGTAAACTACGTCTTCCTCAGATTTCATACGGTGCCTTCCAGTTTCAAAAAGCTTTTAAATATGCGATTTTTATGACCTGTCCGTATGTTACTGCTGCTATTAAGTGTACGAGGTGATCCCCATCAATTGCAAAATTGTATAAGCGGTTTTCCTTGCAAAGAAAACATACAGCATGCAGTTTGGTAACCCAGAAGCGCGAGTGCAAACGTAGGTCATGTTTAAAAATATACATGGAGTTGAAAACGTTTTTAAAACCGCAGGGCGCCCTTTCCGCAGGTAGAAAATATAATGGCATGCTTAGCAACAGGTCTATTTCAATAAACAATATTTTACGCACATTTCCTTTAAACTATATTTTCATAAATAAGGGCATCGAAATCGGGCGAAAAAATTCATACTGCTTAAGTAGCATCTTTTTAATGAGGGTGATTTTGCAGACGGACGGAAAGAAACCTATGCCAAAGCCAGCATTCTGTCGTGACTGAAATATCTAGACATTATGCTATACGATAATCAATATTACAATCCCACTTGGGTAATCCATCATAGCAGAAAACGCATTTTAGAATTTCGGCCGGCATTTCGTGAGATCGGTCATGGACTGTAGGTGTCGGCTAACAGGCCCCAATCAAAAGTGGTGAGTAATAGGAGCTATCTGCAAAATGGGCCGAGGCGGAAGGATGAGGTCCGGGGCATTGACTGCATTCTATCCTACCACCGGGGAAGGCACCACAACGTGCTCAGATGTGGTTGTAAAACTGTAACTGAGATATGCAAACCCCAGCCACCTGTAATACGGGACCGGCGGTAATAGGGGTTTTTACGGGTGGGGCCGGGAAACACACAGGCGACGAGTTTAAGTAATTATATGCAAAAGAAAAAGCTATCAGGGATGCGCGGTTGCAATGTGAGTGGTTGAGAAACAGTTGCCCTAACCCAAACCCTTAACTCTAACCCCTAACACTAACACCAAACCCTAGCCCTATGCCCTAGCCTCCTAACCCCAACCCTAAATCTTAGTAGCAGCCATAAACTCTAAACCTGAAACATCTAACGCGAATGTTAGAAGTAGACGACAGGCCGAAAGTCAAGAAGGACCACCGGCATTGGGCCAAAAACGTACATTAAGTGGACTAACTCATGAAATGTTAACCGAAATTCCGAAATTCGTTTTCGTTTTGAAAAGATTAACTAAGTATTGTTGTAAAACTAGTCAGCCTGCGACATAATTCTGTAATATTTCATTGACCTCAGGATGCCGGCTTTTAAATGAGCTTCCTTCCGGCTGCATGCAAAACTACGCTCTGTAAAATGACTACTTAAGTAGCATGCATTTTTCTCATCGATTTTCGATGCCCCTAAGAGTCCAATTATAGGTCAGGGTAAACATGCATAAAAATATTCATTATTTGACCATTCAGTAGAAGCTTACGTCGCTTTTGAATTGTATGCCTGACGGAAGAGCATAATTTGGTTTTAAAAAAATTTTCCAATTCCCGAATAATTTTGAACCCGAACCACCGTCACACTTGGGTTCAGGGTTTCCAAACTACAAGCCGTATATTTTCCGCGTACGGAAAATCACACATTTCTCTCTGCTACTAAAGGGAAACCATATAGGGTTCGTCAGTTTAGGCAACGGATTTGATCCATATTGTTAACTTTACAAGCCACATTGGTCAATGCAGAAACATGACGTTTTATGAACGGCCATTTCGCGATGTTAAAATATCTCACAATAAGAACCTTTTTAAAACCGTCTTATACCCTTTCTTCGAGTATAAAATTGGAAGAAGATGTAATTGTCTACCGAATGAGCAGAAGAAAGGATATTTGTATGCACGTTTTCCATGAAAAATAATTACATTTTTAAGGACATCGAAAATCCATGAGATAAACGCATGCTGCTTAAGTAGTCATTTTTGACAGATTATGGTTCTTGAGTGGAGCCGAAAAGAAGTTCATTCGAAAGCCGGCATCCCGAGGTAAGTGAAATATTGCAGAATTATGTTGCAGGTTGACTAGTTTTACAATCCTCTTTAACTAATCTTTTCAAAACGAAAACGCATTTCGGAACTTCGGTTGACATTTCATGAGTTAGCCCACCTACTGTAGACACGGCAAAAAAGAAACAAGGCTGCCAACAGAACACACACCGCAACGCACAGCAACACTATGCCAACGTAATCACACCAACCCTAAATATTTAAGTAGGTAAACAGCACTGTTTTTATCAGATGCGGCTACATAACCATATCTTGCCTCCATCCCAAACCACCATTAGATGGGTTCTATTTCCTCCACAGACTTGCGGTTAGGTACCTTAAGCCAAAACCCTATAGGACATAACTCACCAACGAACAACGCGCGCAGTTGCTGAGAATCCATGTGCACCTAACAACTCAGACAGGCCTTATGAAAACTGCAACCTCAACATGATCCTGTAATTAATACGTATTTTCGCAGATCTGCACAACCTGTCTAAGCCAGTTATAGAGAATTCAGCAGTCCCGTTGGGTTCTAATCCACGACAGCCAATACAAAGCTTAAGTACAGCCAGCGCTCTAACCATCTGAGCTACGAGACTCCACTGAGAGTCGTGACTTTAATCACACTTCGCCCAAGTTATCCGCCCAGCCTACTGCAACGCATGGGATTTACCGAACCTGACATAGCAAGCTGACTGCTAGAGCAGGAATCCCTAGACAATAAATCTAGAATTCCCTAAATGGACACGAGGCAGCGGCATCTTAAGTTGGATGGTTAGAGCGCTGGCTGGACACAAGCCTTTTATTTGATGGGTTCGAACCCCACTTAGATCACTGAGTTTTCGCGATTTGTCAGATGAGCAGACCATATAAAGCCAAAAATTATTTAGAAGTAGCCTCACAGAAGACGGGTCAATTCATGGCAGATGCTGCCTTCGGTCAGGGAGACTGAATATTTAAGTTGAGATTCGTACTCGAGATCCCAAGATCAGATAAGGAGGCCATTAGCGTACTATTTCATGCCTTCCCACTTGCATTCTGTTCGACCATCGCATCCGACTATGTCCATCGTGCGCTCCACATCAAGGTGAAGCAGGCAAGGTGACTTGCGCGTGAATTAGTTTATAGTGAGTGTTGACTTGCATTGCCTCTAACGCACTCCCCCCTCTTCTCCCACCTGAACTCGGTGTCCAGACAGGACCAAGAAGACCGGAGGTGGAGGAGGACGAAGGTAGATGGCATGATCGAGCCCACACCTTAATGCTCCACTCCCCACCTCCTGGACCACACAACCGGGATTTTTACCAACAACAACAACAACATCATGACGAAACAAAAGGAGGAGGAGGAGGAGGATGACTGAAAAGCCATGTTCACGACCTGTATAACCAGTGAGAGCGCAAGCGGATCTACCGGCAGGGGATCAGGTGTCGGAAAACTGCTAGCACGCACGAGACTGCGAGGACCATAATTTGTTGATCCTGGCATAGCAGACTTTCACAGACCTTTAGGTCCAGAAGGGCGACACGTGGCACTGCACTTAACCTGGGCAATTACCCTTCAAGGCTGCGAAGATACCAAGAGGAACACCAGCAGTTACTAAATTACCAAGGACTGGGTAAATGGCAGCTAGGCAGCACCAACATCCGGGACAATAATTTATTATTCATGCGGGGAATCGAAAAAAGTGTTACAGAAAATGAATTGCCCATTTATAGCCGCATGACAACAGTCCACAAATGTGTTGGCCTGCTAGACTTGACGGTGCAAGGGCGGGTAAGGTCGACGCTGGGGAATACACCCCCACGGCACATCACCGTCTTCCTCATTATAATCAAATCTGACACGGACTTGAATCTAGCCCGTCGCGTTAAATGTCGTGGCCTGAGGGATAGCCATCTGGCGGGATAATTCGGTCCCTCTCAGGAGTGAGAGTCTACCTGAAATGACTCTTCCTTGATGTGGCCTTTGGAGTCCTCACACGCACGTCAAGCCCAAGCCTTCTTTGCGAAAACGGCACAGGCGGTGGGAACTATGTCATGTGTGGCACGCGTAGACGGGCTATGTCTGATCTCGCCTCCGGTTGTCTTGAAACGGTTTCGACATCGGAGCTAAGTATGTGTATAGGAGTAGGAGGTGCGTTAGATGCTGCGCAAGGCTTCCCACTATAATTGGATTCGATGGATTCCCCGCAAGGGCGACATGTCGCATCCACCCCGCGCATCTTACAATTCCGCCCTTACACAGCGCCGC